CATACAGTTTGAAAACGAGGCGCGGCTCCAACTAGAAAACAATGTTTTGATGCATTGGATGTGCTGAATGTGCATATTAAGGCAGTACAGGAGGAGGTGCACATTAATAATCCTCCAGGACTGTAACATGCTCATGTTTAACCCAAACAATGTGTCATGTGACTGCAGTTGCTTCACATCCAGGTCAGAACACCTTTTCACCACAAACCAACCGCACCAGAGTTCCTTTGGAACCGGACTCTTCAAGAAGGTCTCGGTCCGGTTGTTTTGGTGCACACCTGAGTGTGATTGCTGTGTTCACACCTGCCCAAACCAACCGCACGAAGGGGCAACCGAACTTGAGTTTGACTAAATTGGACCAAACAGGACAGGTGTGAAAGCAGCCTTAGAGACTGGCACTTCTTTCGCATTCTACGGCCCATAGAGCAGGTGCACTACAGACTTCTGTGGGCTGAGCCAGCTAACGTCCAATTTGGTGTTCTGTTATCTCGAATGAGGACAAAATAATTCAACTGTGCAGTTTTTCCAGACATTGAAATGTCAATCAAACCGAATGCTTTATATCTTGATTGTGACAGACGCTCAATAAATTTATTCTCTGATACACAGACGTCACTTTTGCCACATGCCCCCCACTCAGAGTTTTGTCACCTTAACTTTCGTTTGTGTCCCGCCACGTTTCCCCCTGACGCTTCAGAATGCCATTAAACTATAACAGCGATCGGTTGCGTATAGTATAGTAATGTTAAGGGACACCTTTCTGTCAGCGTCTGACGCCGCAAGTCACTGCCCAAGCACTGGATTTCAACGACTTCGGAGTGAGATCGTGTTGCCATGACCCCCCAAAAGGGGATTTTATCTCTAGTTTTTGATCTCTTTTATATAACTCACACATTATTATTTTATTAAGGCTTGAAGTTAGGCATCATCAAGTGACAGGCTGTCTGCGAGGCATCACCACAGTCTCTGAGTTCCTCGCCTAGCTTCTCCACAGCTCCACCCTCTCGTCCAAATATTGTCAATTCTGGGTCCAAAAAACTAAGATGTCAATGGCCAACATTTCAAAACGGGAGTCCACAAACCAACGAGTGACATCATGGTGGCTATGTCCATGATTTCATACAGTCAATGGTCCAAAGGAAGGTAACAAATATGCATGTGTGGGGAGTAACACAGCAGATGAATCTGGAGACATACTGGGAGTAAACAAGTCGCCATCACTGCGGTGGCGTCTGCCAACAATATGCGCACGTTTGAATGCCAGCTGTCTTCAGTCTTACCTTTACTTTATATGTAACACGCAGAAACATTGCTATTCAAGGGGAAAGTTTACTGAACAATCAGCTGTGTCCTTACGTCTGACGAATCCTGCTCCTTTTTAAAAGCACTTGTAAAACTAAACCTTTAGGTATGTGCTTATTAATAATGTAAATAAAGTGCTTCTGTTTTATCTCTACCTTTCCTGTCTGATCTCCTCTTAACTTCTCGTCCTTCCTCTAGTCTATTCCACCTTACTTGTTTACCATGTAAAGTGACCATCCAGGCCGGCCTGAGACGAAAAAGTGATAAATGAGCAGAGCAGCGAGGGATAGGCAGCGGGCCGGGGCCGAATGAGAGAGAGAAGAGCTGATGCGGAGAGGGAGAAGGGGAGGCTAACGGGAGTCTGAGAGTGGATATAATGAGAAACAGGGGAGAGGGAGGCTGGGGTGGGGGGGGGGGGGGGGGGGAGAAGTGAGGACAAGACTGGTGAAGGGGAGAAACCAGGAAGGGTGGAGTGATGTATGAGAGAAAGAGCATTGCGACAGAGGGATAGAGAGTGAGGGGAAAGTCATAAATGGAAGAATGAAGGCGGATGAGGGTGGCTGAAGATAGAGGAGGAAAGAAGGAGGCTGATAAAAGAGGTAGAGGGTGAAAAATGGATGGCAGGGTGAGGGTTTGATGTGCTGGTAGAACTGATGATAGAGATGAGGAAGTAGTGTCTGTCTCATCCAGCACAGTATTTAAATACAGTACATAAATCCAGCGTGTGCGTATGTATACGTGTGTGTGTGTGTGTGGTGCTGATTAGCAGTCATCTCAACCAGCGAGGCATTCAGACATTCACTCATTATCTCTAATATGGCTGTAAGTCTGCTGAGTTCAGCTTCGCAGTGTTTTTCTGTCTGACTTCATGGTGAACTCAGCTGGTGAGCGTCAGTATTCAGGGGCGAGGGTCCAATATATTTGCAATTATGTGGATAACAAATCATAATTAAACAGGAAGGCCTGAAGAAGATAATGAAGCTTTATCTGTAGCTGGATAATTCTGATGAAGTCCTTTGGTCTGTCACATAAAACCCTTCATCAAGTGGTACGAAACAAGTGGGAGGTTACGAGTTCGGCTGATTTCTCCTTTAATAAGTGGATGTCCAAGTGTGCTTCAGAACTAGGGCTGCAAATACTGCTGATTTTCCTTGATTAATCCTAATTAATCATAATTATCATAATAATAATTTGGAAGTGGTTTGGCTAGTTGAAAGGTGACGAAACACGTACAAAGACTGTCTGCAAAATATGTCGTTGGTTGGCGCCAACCAGGACGTGCAACTTTTTCCATCACCTGAAAAGGTGGCATCGCGACGACTACACTAAGAGCATGAACATCCAGGCCAAAACAGCAGTAAGTCCACCATCAAGTGTTGCTCAACCTTGCTCAGCCAATCACTTCTGCTGCTGTTGGCAACAATCAATAGTGTCCGTTTTTGCCGCCGTAACCTCGTATAAGAAGCGATCGGACAGGAGCAGAGATATAACGGATGCAGTGACAAACTTTCTAGCCAAAGACATGATGCCCATGAGCACTGTGGACAAAGACGGGTTCAAGAAACTAAAGTGCGAGACTGCAGGTACGAGCTCCCAGGCGGGATATACTCTTCTCAAACTTCTCTGCCCCAGCTTTATGACAAGTGCCGCAGGAGACTGGAAATCATTTGGTTTCCAGTATACTTTTCAAACTCGCAGCATTATCAAAATATATATCGTGATAAATATCGTTATTGATCAATACAGGGAAAGTTATCGTGATATTTTTTGCCCTAAAATGCCGCCACAGTTCTCGCAAGTTCTAGCTGTGCTGTCAGTCTGCATGTTCCACAAAGTGCTGGTAGTTCTGGCGATCCAATCTGCATCTTTAGTGAATTTACACCTGGATTTTATGCTTTTTTTTCTCCATCTCATACATTACAGGTTTGCAGGGTAATGATAGTTTCAGAAGGCGTCTGAGGGGAAACGGTTTACATTTCAAAACAGCCAGACAGCCGAGTGGATTATCTGTGTGCTTCTGCAGCCTGGCATCCCTGCTGGTCTCCCGCCAAACCGGAGCGGAAACCTAGCCAAACTTTGCCCAGTGTATACATTTCATTAGGAATGATGTCCTGCATGTCTCCATCCTTATTCCCTGCACATCCTGTTGCAGACCGCAGATAGCATATGGTGCTGAATATGCAGTGATGAGCAATAAACCTCAATTTGAACCTAAATCTGTCATTTTCCAGACGGGCCAGTCTTTTCAAAGTTGGACACTGAAGTTAACTTCTGGATTTCAAACCTGGAAGTTGGAATAAAATTTGGATTTGGAGTCAGACACCACTGTGGTGCGAGATCGCTCGGTCGATTCTTGAACTCTGTCTGAATCACAGCTGCATTCAGACAGCATCATCCAACTCATATAAGGAAAATATGGTGTACTGTAAAAATGTGTCACATTTTATCCCCTAACTGACAAGGGCGTTGAGGTTGCAGTTCAGAGAGGAGAAAAAAACAGACGCATCATTTATCTGATGACACAGAGAGAGAAAGAGGCAGGAGACAAGACTCAACGTGCAATATTTCTGACCCAATAAGAAAATGATATCGTAATCAAGACTGGGATTGTGAGGGCTCAAACAATCACAATAGGAGGAGCACCAAACGTCAATGTGCTTATTAGAGAGACACCGACACAGAAAGACGGGGCGAGATGAGCTGCTACACAACTGGCTGTAATAAAGACAGAAAGGACGGATGTGGATGGAGAGATAGAAAAAGAGAAAGTCCTTGGTTTAAAACTGAACCTAGCTTGTTAAGTTGTGTGCTGACTGATAACCTGGACCCAGAGGACCAGCTGTTCCCACGAGTCATCTCTGAACCTCTGACCAGTGATACAAACCTGAAGTTGAAACAAAAATACTGAGACATTCATGTTTGATGGTCTGCTCCTGGTTTGATGCCACTGATGAAGAGTAATCAGAACGTATGAATCGAGCAGTTCTTGTCAAGAGGAAAAGACGCCCCCTCCCGTGCTTTGATCAACGGCCATTTTATGTCCTGTGTCTTTGTGTTGGCCGTCCACTCAAAGTAGGCTGCAGTCCAGTTTTGGTCACAACAAAGGTAAGAGTAATGTTGTCCTCTCCTGCTCCCATTTGACTGGTTGCAGTCTGTGATTCTGCAAGTTCATGTGTGTGTCCACTGGTTTTGAAGAGTTCCTCATTGTGTAGAGAAAAGTTTCTGTCATGGTTTATCAGCTCTTCAGTACGATGGTGTCTGAGAATGGCTTTCTGTTGGTCTCAGGATCTGGACGAGAAATTCACTGAACTTGAGAAGAGACAAAGGACACACAACGGAAGCTACTTTAAAACCACAAAAAAACACAGCGAGCTGAATTAGAGAGCAAACAGAAAATTAAGGACAAGATGAAACTTAGTTCGAGATTTCAATTTAGGTTGCTACAGAAGCAAAATATCAACGTGGAGCAAAGGAAAAGACAGGCCTAGAAATATATATTTATACATATAACAAATACTAAATACTATGACATAAGATGGAAGTCAGTAAAGACTCCCTGTTCCTCACCTGTCCTGAGGTTCGAGGAGTTGGTTATTGCACAAGGCTCTGCAGGGCTGGTCTTAGACGTTGCTGCGCAGTAGCCCCCCCTGTGGGTGCTCTGGAGTACTGCACTCTGAGGAGTTCTTGGCTTTGTCCTTGTTGTTGTTGGGCTCGTTGTCTTTGATGATGTCATACTGACGACAAAACAGGGCGATCACCCCTGGGAGACCAACGGACATGATAATTATTTGTTAGAATAATGACGGGTTTATTTCCTCTCTCCTCTGCGGTGAGGTCAGAGGTCAAGATCAGCGATTGGAGCAGCAACTCTGGAGCTTTGGGGGGGCTTTAGTGTTTATTTAGCATAGCATGAAGACTGGGAACAGATGTAATGTGTTTGTAGTGGGCTTTACAAGGCTGGTGGACAGATTATTTTACTTTCGGACAGAGTCAGACTAGCTACATCCCTGTTTCCAGTCTTTTTAACAAGCTAAGCTAATTGCGTGCTAGCTGTAGCTTCATATCTAATCCACAGACATGAGAGTGTATCAATCTTTCCATCTCCTGGCACAAAAATAATCAACTTTATTGTTCTTATTTGTTTTTTCACCTCCTGTTACAGCTGTGTCATAACTTATGCATTTTCCAAAGTGTTTTTTTTGTGTTTCCCCCCTCCCTGTGTTTTCTGTGTTTTCCATAGACTGTATAATAAAGATGGCAACAAAAGTGAAGCCAAATCCTCTCAGTCTGCAGTGAAGGTTATAAACCCTTCCTACTTTGTGTTAGCAGCTGGGACGTGGGCTGAAAAAAATCAAAGTAAGCATCAATTTTTTTTTCTCCCCAAACATGGTTTCTGTGACTTCAGGTAGCTCTTATGATGCTGATGTTTGAGCAAATGTTCGTCTTTCTTATAAGTTTGGTTTTAATTAGTTATTTGATGCTATAAAAAGGGGGTGTGACATCATCATTGATTACTCCACTTACTCATAAGTATGATCCAGAAATATATTCTCCCTAAAAGTCACGTGACGCTGAAAATACTGCTACATCTGTTCAAATAGCACAACAACATCAGAGAGTGCCAAAGTGATCACAGTACCCTGAAACCTCCTCAGTCTGCTGAGGGTTGATGACACACACCTGGGGACACTCGTTAGCCTGTTCCAATGTGTGTTCACTGAATGACAGGATGACTCTTGCCTCGCCTCTGTAGGATCCTTCCTTGGAAAGACTCATCCTGCCAAGGAAGGATCCTTGACTTTAAGAAGCACCCTCTGGCTCCACATGACGTCACCAGCACAAGATGGCAGCAGCTGTATCTGGGATATCTTGGCTTTATTTTTGTACGGTGGGCAGAAGTGGCAACAAGTCGTCCACCTTTACATACAGTCAAATGTGAGTGCTGGTGTGGTCTCCCTCCTTTATCCTCCTGGCTCCCAGCTCTGCTCATCACACTCAGCTGTCTCACATCAGCTCATCAAGTGCACCTGCCCCTCATCAATCCAATCCAATCCACTTTATTTATATAGCACGATTTTAACAAACACAAGATTTCCAAAGTGCTGCACAGCAAGATAAAAACACAATAATAGAAGCACAATAACACGATGAAGTACACAATATGATAAAAGTAATAAAATAAGATAAAATCAAACAAAATAAATAAAATAAGATAAAATCAAATAAAATAAAATGCTCTGCCCGCACAAGATAAAAAATATGCACATACACATAAAATCATCAAATCAACACGCTACATGGTGTCAAAAGCCAAAGAAAAGAGGTGGGTTTTAAGGAGAGGTTTAAAATGAGACAGTGAGGAGGCCTGTCTAATGTGCAGTGGCAATTCATTCCACAGTTTTGGAGCTGCAGCGGCAAATGCTCGCTCCCCTCTGAGCTTAAGCCTAGCTTTAGGCACTGTCAGGAGCAGCTGGTCAGCTGACCTGATAGAGCGGCTTTGAGTGTAGGGGTGCAGCAGCTCAGAGAGGTAGGGTGGGGCAAGGCCATTCAAGGCTTTAAAAGCAAATAAAAGAATTTTAAAATGAATCCTAAAATGGACGGGCAGCCAGTGGAGTGAAGTTAAAATAGGTGAAATGTGCTCATACTTGCTTGTGCCAGTTAAAAGACGTGCAGCAGCACTTTGTACCAGTTGAAGACGAGCAATGGAGGACCCACTAACCCCCATATAAAGTGCATTACAGTAATCCAGCCGAGTGGTCACAAAGGCTTTGATTACCTTTTCTAAGTGTCGTCTCTGAAGGACTGGTTTAATTTTTGCCAGCTGCCTCAACTGGAAAAAGCTTGACTTCACCACAGCTTTAATCTGGCTGTCAAATTTAAGGTCTGTGTCCACTTTTACCCCCAGATTGTTCACAATTGGCTTGTGATACTGTGCCAAAGAACCCAGATCAACTAGGGGGGTCATAGAAGAGCCACCAAAGACCATGATTTCTGTCTTTTTTTCATTTAAATTCAGAAAATTTAAAGACATCCAGGCTTTGATGTCATGTAAACACTTTAGCAATGGCTTAACACAGTAGGAGTCTGACTTTTTAAGGGGGACATAGATCTGACTGTCATCCGCATAGCAATGAAAAGAAATGCCATGTTTCCTCAGAATTGAACCAAGTGGGAGTAGATAGAGGGAAAATATAAGAGGGCCAAGCACAGAGCCCTGTGGTACCCCACATGAGAGGGAAGCAGTGGAGGACACGGAGTCATCAAGGCTGACACAGAAGGTTCAATGTGACAGGTAGGACCTGAACCTTTCAAGTGCGGTGCCACTGATGCCCACCCACTGCTCCAAACGGGCAATCAGGATCCCATGGTCCACTGTATCAAATGCTGCAGTCAAAGCTAAAAGTGCAAGGACAACACAGTGACCAGAGTCAGTAGCTAAAAAGATGTCATTAAAAACTCATAAAAACGCTGATTCAGTGCTGTGCAATGTTTTAAACCCAGATTGGAAAATCTCAAGAGTATTCTGTTCATTTAAAAAGTCCATGAGCTGAGAATAGACAATCTTCTCTAAGATTCTAGAAAAGAAAGGCAATTTAGAGATAGGCCTGAAATTTGCCAAAACAGTAGCATCCAGCCCAGGTTGTTTTGCAGGTTGCACAACGGCATGTTTAAAATGAACAGGGACCACTCCAGAGGACAGAATGCTATTAATAACGGCGAGAAAAAATGGTCCAACAGTGGGGAAGACCTACTTAAAAAATCGGGGAGGGACAGTATCATCCAGAGAACCTGAGGGTTTCAAATGATCAACAATCTCCTGAACAAAGGGCAGGGTCACAGGTTCAAATGTGTCCAGCACAGCAGAGCATCAGTTAATCAACCCTCAGTGAATCTGCTCCGGCTCTCTCTTGTGTTTTCTCTGTCACTAACCTGTATTGCAGGATCAGCATTCACCTGTCTCCCAGCTACGCCTGCTCTCCACGCTTCCCCCACACTAGCTTATCTCAGCCATCACCATCCCTCCCTGCAAACCCCCCGAGCTCCAACCTCACCATCAGTCCCATATCCTCATCCTTTATGGAAACCTCTTCTGCATCATCCCTCAGTCTGTGTCCTGTGTTTGGGTTCTAACACTTCCCCTGAATCGGTCTGACTTTGGTGTCTGTCCCAGTACACTTAGAGATATGAAGAGCAACACATTTATTTCAATAACAGGTGCAGGTGATAATGATGATGATGATGATGATGTGTACAGGTAATCTATCTCTATTCATTCAGCTGCCTTTGTGTCAACAAGGCAGATCAAAGTGAGGTGAGAGAAACAGACATGAATACGGTGAATCGTTCAGGCAGAGATCTGAACTTGATGACAAGATAGCCATGTGCGGCCCGCCTTCAGTCAGAGAGATTAAAAACACGGCGGAGGAAAGACAGATGCAGAGAGAGATAAGCATGCAGGAAAGAAGAGAAGGAATAATTGATGACGGTGGAGGAGCGTGTGGAGGCAGGAGGAATCTGGCCCAAACGGGCTTCAGTCTCGCCTGTTCTGCTCATGTCAGCCTCTGCTCATCTGATCACTATGAAACCAAAGGGCAGGATGGGATATCTAACTGTGGTATCCCCCAGCATGCCCCACAGGCCCAATTAAAAACTGAAGAACACAATTCACCTTCTTCACACTCAGTTCTTTCCCACCATCCTGCCCTCCTTTTCCCTCCTCTCAAAATTGCTCAGTTTTCACTCTTTCCTCTCCGTCTGCAGCTCTCTTTGAATCTCAGCCTCTCGTCCTCTCACGGGTAACTGGCGAGGGACATGCAGGCCGCTTGCTGTTACTGTATATGCCATATACGGTTTTGGGGCCATATTTGCATCTCATTACACTCGGTGAAGTGGGTTAGGAAGGAATATTTATAGCTGTGTGCATCTGTGAAACAGTGCTGAGATACACAAAAGGAAAACAACAGTGCAGCACAGAGCTAATGGCTGCGAGGCTTAAATAAGAAGCAGACACAGAGTTATAGTTTTGGAGAAACAGCTGTACAGATGGAACAAACAGATTTGCTGCGATGATGGAAATGTGACTCTGCTAGTGACCACACACTTAATTTAAATCCTATTATTTATCCTTATATAGCAACAAACCTGTTAACAGAAGGTTTCCTTTTCATCTGTTTTATTTTTTCTTTGCACCTGTCTACCACATTTCATTAGATGACGGTTAGCTAATAGCCCAAAATAACAAATGACAAATTTGTCTCTAAGGGCTTTACAACCTGCACAACACACAACACCCTCTGTCCTGAGACCATCTATATGGATCACAAATGCTCTTTGTATTACTTAATTTAAGGGCTGCCTGCTAATGGTCGACCGAACGTTACTCGGCAAGATTTCATTGGTCGTGAAACTATAACGATCTGCACCTTGTCAAAATAAATCCAAACCTATATGAGTGGAGCATGTGTGACTTTACTTTGAAAGGACAGACACAGGAAGTGTCCACGCTCAGCAGTCAGACAGGAGTCAGGTTAATTTCCAGGGCTGGTACCTGCGGTTCGGTTTATAGCACCGACCGAATTGCTTCGGTGCTAATGAGTATCGAAAAATGCCTTGTCTTTCGGTGCCAAGCTTCGGTACCTAGGAGTCACATGACTCCTAGTGATCAAGGTCTGATATGCTGCTGGTGATTGGCTGTAATGTCACATGTAGAGGCAGGGATGCGTATGTGGTCAGTGTTGTCAACTTAGCGACTTTGTCGCTATATTTAGCGACTTTTCAGACCCCTCTAGCGTCTTTGTCTAATATAAATCACTGAAAGAAGGTTCATTTGTAGTTCTAAACATATTCAGGGTGTTTTTTACTCGTTCGTTTCGTTATTCCTCTCTCCTACAGCTGTATTACCGCGGGTTAAAAAAAATCCATATCGTCACAGCCCTAGTTGGGATGGCAGTGGCTCAGGCAGTAGAGCAGTCATCTAATCTGAGAGATTCTGGCTTTTGTACATTTTTTTTTTTATTTTATATACTTATTATTTTTTATTGTTTTTTTAAACTGCTTTGAGTGAAAAAAGCCTGAAAATTAAAACCCAAGATCTGTACCGTATTTGTCATTTCTTTTTGTTAGAACTGATTTTATTTAATTGGTATTGAAGAAGTATCGTTCAGGAACCGGTATCAAAATCAAGGTATCGGTATCGAAAATTTTTGAACGACACCAAGTGGTGACACCCTTCTTGTGAAGCTGTCATGAAGTCAGAGTATGTGTCCGTTCCTTGATTACCCTGTAAATTATTTATATTCCTTATGTCCATAAGGGTCCACCCATCAAAGGAATCAGAGGAGTTTTTCATAAAAATGACTCCAAGCTGTGAGTATTGTTTGAACAGGATAAAGTGGTGTTGTGTCGGTGTGTTGGGTGCCATTATCCTCAGGTGCTGTGAAACAAGTGTCGTAACATAACTACAGGGTTGCCAACTTTGGTCAGAGGGCTGGAGTGAGATTTTAGCTTGTAACGTAATATAATATATGTCCATAGATGTATATTTGTTTTATGGCGCAGATCAAGGTTGATTTCATCCATCTATGGTAGTATCGTCATCTGCTTAAAAAATCCAGTAATATGTCCTGTTGTGACAAACAGAAAGATTTCAAGGGGGGTTCTCCTCCAAGAACATTTTGAAATTCACACGGCGAAATCCTGTTTTCATTTAATTTCATACAGAAATAGATAAATTCAAGGTAGGGATGCACCAAAATGAAAATTTATGGCCGAGGCTGAAGCCGAATAATATTAAACGCTTGGCCGAATACCGAGTACCGAATACCGAATATCGTTGTTTAGTTTTTCATTAGTTTTTGCAGATGAACCCCCTCCAGATTAGTGTTGTCACGGTACCAAAATTGGAACCCACTGTACGATACCAATGAAAATATCATGGTTCTGAGTAGTATCAGGATACCACAGCGAAAATGTGACAGATGTGCCTTTTGTCATTTATAAAAAGATAAATCACTTTTCTATAATACATCAATGATATTTCAATGGAATAAATTACTTATTGACTTATTCATACTTCAAAAACAGCATCAATAAGTGATGAACATAGGGGGGATCAAAATAAAATAAATAAATAAAATAAGAATCAACCAGCCACCCTCCTCCCCTGACAAGTCCCTTCATAAGTAAAGAACAGTCCCTAAAGTGCGGTGAGGTTTGTGGCCCGTGAACGGCTCGTTTCTCCTCTGACACGTCACATACCTGTGTTCGGCTGGCTCGGCTGTTCAGGTACTTCTGGGCAGTCCACACGCCAAGAAGAGGAAATTATTGGAGCCGACTTCTCCTCGCCGGTAAGCCGATGGCCGCCGTATTTGACAGGAATACATTACTGCCTGTGTCTGTGACCCCCGTTCAACCCACAATTGGTGGGATTCGCCTCTCGTTTCTGCTGCTGGTTGAAATCTGTAGGCTGCTCGTGCAGCGTGCTGAATGATTTGATGCCAGGGCCACACTGCCTGCGAAGCGCACGAGCCGCAGCACCCCCGTTCACATCAGACGCGAATTTCTCCACGCCAGTCGTCAAGCGATTCTGCTCCCAGCTGTTGTTTTTTCATCATGGGTAACTGCCCGGCTTGACACATTCGCTCGTGGCTCGCACTGAAAATAGACCAAACGCCAAATTGATCGTTGCAGGGCCGGCGGCGGAGCTGCGTGGCGTGGCCGGTGTGGATGACACAATCAGCTAACATGGGTGCCGAAAGGAAACTGGCTTCACTTCTCGGCGCTTCAAGGGTATTCGCGGAGCTTCCGCAGGCAGTGTGGCCCTGGCGTAATCTATTTTGCTCGCTCAAAACTATTTTTAGTCGCAAATGCGAGTGCGGTGACGGGCGGATCACCACACTGCCGACATTTTAATCCGCCTGTCACGGCACGCTGTTTGATTGCGTTATCAAAACCGCGCCGCTATTATTCGGCCTTGTTTTTAACTTATTCCACCGAATACCGAATGTGTGTTTTTTTGCAATATTCGGCCGAATATATTCTATTACCGAATATTCGGTGCATCCCTAATTCAAGCACTTTCAATGACAGGGCTGGACTGGGACAAAAAAACGCAGACATTTATGTATCTTAAATGTACTTGCACACATTTTATTAAAAATCTAAATGATAAATCTTGTAGAGTTTCTTTGGCAAGTGCTTTCACTATATGCATTGTGTGCTCTGGGGCCATCTACTACCACCATGATGTTTATGAGAAGTGAATGAGCACATTGATTTTCTCGCCTTGGTACTCTCTTCCAGGGCACGTAGGGTTCTTCTGAGATTTATTTTTATTTTGGTAATAGCTTAGTGTGTGCGTATGGCATTTTTCCAATCATAGTGGGCCGCCATGGTCAAAAATGCCAGGGCCATTTTTTTGTCCCAGTCCAGCCCTGCTTTATACCTCCAGGGTTTCCGCAAATTATTGCATGACATTATGATCTCACAATCCGACAATTCCAGCTGCTCATGTGCGCGCCACTACAGTTCCAGTGGACATTGACGCCCAGCACAGGACGGAGCGAGTCCGCGCCGTGGGCGAATCGCGCACGTAACAGATCCAGTGGACATCCAGTATGCGGTCTGGTCAAGCCGCACAATGGGCTGGACTTAAAAAAAAAAAAAAAAGGGACTCGGTGACGGTGGACTGAGATTTCTTAAACGGGCGTGAGAGAGTGACAGTCACGCCAGATGCATGAGAGTTGGCAACCCTGCCGTAGTCGGTTGACTGTGAGACTAGAGCTGCCCAATCAAAGCACAAATAAGGACTGCGCACCAATCAGAGAGTAGTTTTCCACAGAAAGATTTGGCTGTACTCCATTTTACTCAACCGGTGGAGTCTGCCCCTCTCTTCTCCTCTCCCCTCTCTGAAGTCTGGCTGCAAACTTCAACTCCACCCACCTGGCGCGCCGGCTATTTGAAATTAATTTAAGACACTCAGCTGCCAGCCTTTTTTCCAGCGTTTGTCGCTGGTGTGAGAATTGGTTGGGCAGAGTGAGACTGTGGCCAACAGAACCACATCATCATCTGCAAAAAGAAGAAATGCAATTCTGACGTCCCCAAACTGGACCCCTTACTCCCCCCGGCTGTGCCTCGAGATCCTGTCCATGAAGATCACAAACAGGATCTGTGACAAGGGACAACCCTGGCGGAGGTCAACACCCACCGAGAACAGGGACCTGATGGCTCGTAGCAGCCCGGGCTACTAATCACAGTTTTATGGTATTTGCTGATTTTGATGGACTTTTGGGTAAAGTTAAACTTCAGAACCTGAAATAAAGAGTTTTATGATAAAAATACTTCTTTAATGTAGAACAAAAAAGCTCAATCAGATCCTAAATCTCAACCTGAGATTTTTCTCTTACTCACTGTAACACGTTTCTGTCTGCTCTGACAGGCATATCTGGGTTGGTGCACAGAATATAAACCTGGATTTGATGTGTAACGATCACCAAAAAAATGCTTTTATCATCCCAAAAGCACCGCAGGGCACGAAATAGTCATCAGAGAGAGAGATGATGCCACTACCTGTGTGTTTGTCTCTTAATAGAGCCTCAGTCAGAGAGGCTTATTTGCCCCAGAGACAGTGGATTCCTGTAAGGTCTGCAGTGATAAATGTGTTTGTGAAGAGGAATATTACCTGCCCACATGATGAGCACCACTACAATGATGATGAGTTCTCCAGCCCTCAGCTGAGCAGCCTGACCAACCTCCTCCATCGTCACCTCGTCTGGAGAGACAACACACACACACACACACACACACACACACACACACAAAGACACAGAGTCAACAAAGTGCCACTGAGGACGCTGCGATTCATTGTCCCAGAGAGAGAATGTGAAATTGCCATCACTCTGAATCTCTGCAGGGAAAGATAAAAGAATAAAGCAGGGCGACAGGAGAGCAGAGAGGCCGCCTGGTGTAAATTTTCCACTCTGGTCAGTGTAATTAAAGCTAAGTGAGAGCAGAGGTAACTGCAGAGACACAGAGAGCTGGATCCCAACCCCATCACTCTCTGTGTTTCTCTTGCTGACAGGACTCTGGCAGCTGCAGCCTTACACCAATCACAGGTTAAAGGTTTGAACACAGTCTGGACTACAGCCTCTCGCTCTCTGGTGCCAGCAGCAGGGCCACATCTCCCCTGGTCAGACTGGTGATTACTCGGCAAAGCACTGGATCATATCACATGAACGGAAGACATCACTGTCACATGTTTGAGTTTCTTGGTGTTTAGTTGGAGGACGTTGGCTTTGAAATTCTAACAGTAAACAGAACATTATATTTTACTATAACAGCTTATTGCTGCAGTTTATGGAACCGTCACGGCCAATAAAATCTCACTGCAACAAACACCCATTTTGTAGTAAAATTATATTTCTAAGATTGCATCACATTTCATTTTGTTATGACATTTAAAAGTAATGAAGCATGAATAAACTAGAGTTAATGCTTTGCCTCTGTGAACCCGTCAAGTTGCACTTACAGTTTACAGCCAAAAACACGAATGCTTCGGACCGAACCACTTACCTACTGCATCAGTGTTTGACGACCTGGAAATGAGACTCAGAAATCAACTCTTTCTCCAGAGTCACGTACAGCACTTTTAACTGAATGCTTCCATTCACATGATGGGATTCAAATACAGTAGAAAACTAGAATTAATGCCTTGCAGATGTACGCCTCAGGTTGCACTTAAAGTTTATATCTATGTCTGTGGAAACATGGAGGCTTAACATGCAATCAGTAAAAATAAGCGCAATATAACAAATAAAACAAGGCAACTAAAAGAAAGTAAAACACAGAGCAAATACAGACTACTGAGGCTTCAAACAGAAACATACCAGGAAACACACATGGGACAATTTAGGGTGGGACAAAGGTCATTTTGAAAAGATGGGTCTTATATTTACTTTAATTTCACAGATAAGAAACAATAAATTGTGAAGACAATAAAGCCTCCACAAAAATATCATTTTAAGTCTTGTGTGTGATTTATCCTGGCTTCATATGAGCAGAGGAAATCTCTGCTAGCTGCTAGGCTAATTTATACAATGTAAAATGCCATAGGCTTGTGCTAATAACGTTAGCATGTTGTATTTGGGGGAAAATGTGTCCAGATAAAGACAAGTGTTTGTCTGTGAATGCTGCGAGTTATAGTGAAGCTGATTTGTGTACTTGTGTTTGAAATAGTCTCTATTAAGCCATGTTTACTGAGTGTTTAATGTGTGTTTACTGAGTGTTTAATGTGTGTTTACTGTGTGTTTAATGTGTGTTTACTGAGTGTTTAATGTGTGTTTAATGTGTGTTTACTGAGTGTTTACTGAGTGTTTAATGTGTGTTTACTGTGTGTTTAATGTGTGTTTAATGTGTGTTTACTGAGTGTTTAATGTGTGTTTACTGTGTGTTTATTGTGTGTTTAATGTGTGTTTAATGTGTGTTTACTGAGTTTTTACTGTGTGTTTACTGAGTGTTTAATGTGTGTTTAATGTGTGTTTACTGAGTGTTTACTGAGTGTTTACTGTGTGTTTACTGAGTGTTTACTGAGTGTTTACTGTGTGTTTACTGTGTGTTTAATGTGTGTTTACTGTGTGTTTAATGTGTGTTTACTGAGTGTTTAATGTGTGTTTACTGTGTGTTTACTGTGTGTTTAATGTGCATTTAATGTGCATTTAATGTGTGTTTACTGTGTGTTTAATGTGTGTTTAATGTGTGTTTAATGTGTGTTTACTGTGTGTTTAATGTGCGTTTGATGTGTGTTTTGAATCAACTTAACTTTACAGCACTTCACATAACCTCATCACCAACTAGTGTTTTGGAGGTGTAACTGCAGAGTGACACAGACACACCACCGCACAAGTATAAAGAGCTGATGGACAAGTATAAATCTGCCTTAACTCACATTAGACTCACTTCTATAGTGAATTAAACTGTAAATAAGCTATTCCCCCATCTTCTATCTTCTGGGGACCTGGAACTCCTCAAGGCCCCTTGAGATCCCAGGACCCCTGGTTGAGAACCACTGGTCTAGAGGACAAAGCCTGCTGCAGCTGACTGAGCAGAACAGAGCACTGTGGTTGTACTGGGAATCTTCCAGACTGTACAGTATGTAAATACTGGGAGCAGACTGCTGCTGCTGCTGCAGCACTGTCAGAGATAAATTAAAGGTTGAAACAGTCCCGACACTTACTGCTTTACACAACACAACACAAGGGTTTGCAGCTCATTGTATGATACAAAAAACAACATTACACCTCGACACTAGCAATCAGAGATTTTACTACATTATGTGGTGCATTCAGTTTTACAGTATCTTGCTGTGATTGGAGAAGAGTTTCAGACAGATACAGACAGATTCAAAGGAAGATAAACAGACAGAAACACAGACAAGTTGTGTGCTGTGTTGCATTGCGCCGGCAGATACTAAATGGTGTCAGGCTGATTAATACCCGCTTAGAAGGGGAGGAGAGCTGTAATGGCTGGGAGATTTAATCAGGACGGCTAATGAATGCTTCCATAAACACACATACACACCCACAATTTGCACACAGGGATCTTCCATCAAAGTTGGAGCAAACAAAACGAGTCAGCCCCTCAACATCAAGACAAATTGTCCCTGCTAAACATCAACGTCACATGACCTCATGTACACTGCAAGATACAGCTACTGTTGCAAATGTTTCTAGTACTGACTCAACTGTTCTTGAAACAACTGAAGACACAAGTGTGAGATTTTTTACTTTCTCCTAATTAATAAACTTGTTTCAAGATTTTGGCAGACAGTAGACACCAAGCTATATTCAGTGAACCACTATGATGTTAGCTATAGCAACTGGCAATTGACCATTCGCCAAACCCTCCCCCAAACAGTATAGCAAAGCAACAGTAAAATCAGTTCAGACCAAAGATTTGCAACGGGATGAAACCGTTTAAGAACATCATAGAGAAAAGTTGTTTCAGACTGTAGGTCGGTGCGGCTGCTCACTATGTGCTTGTTCTTTATCTTATTGTGGCGTACTGATTATGACTACAGTCCATCTGATGCTGGTTTTGTTTCTCTTCTGTCTTAATTTTTTTCTTTTCCAAATCCAAAACACGAGCAAAAGTGTAAGGAATGGATTAAACAATGTGTTTGTCTTTTCTGATGTAACGTAACGTGCATGTTTATAGAGGACGTGAAGTCCATGTCATGCTGTGTAAAACTTGTCTACGGGACGCCAGAAAGTGTTTCAGCAGCTGGAGGCGGCTCTTTGTATTTGTTTTTAATGATGATGAAGCTTTGTGCTTGCTGTTTTTGCGTTGCTACGAGCCTCTATGCACCTGGCGTTTTTGCCAAAGCGCTCTGAACTCCTTTCGTTGAAATGGAAAAGCTCCCCATGTCATCTCTGCTTTTTCCCATTGTCCAATTGGATAGTTTGGGAGGTGGCCCTTCTGTGGTGGTCACGACACGTGAAATTTGCAGTTGGTAAACAATGGAGGACCAACTGGTGGTACTCCCCATGATCCAGCCTCTTTTTCAGGGTCTCATGTACCCACACAGATCTCTGTTTATCTGCTGACAGCCTCTCACCCTCAACCAGAGCTACAGACAGTACACTCAACCAGGGCCGTACGCAGGATTTTTGAAATACCGAGGTCATTTAGTCTTGGTGAGTGTGGGGGGGGTCAGAAATTTTTGTCAATTATATATCAAAAGCCTTCAGTCTGGTGTACTTTGACAGCCAAATTAAGAGGCTACATCTATAAAGAACTACACACAACATATTAGATTAATCCCATCTTATCATGTTTCTCTTCCCACTTCATACTATAGCGTAATTGCCTTTTACCAAACTTTGTTTGTTGGTATTTATAATTATGTTTGAACCTCTTATTCTTTAGCAGGAAGTACTTCTCTTCATCTGTCAGTTGTCAGTTATATTAATTTTTATATCAATGAAAAAAACAAATCCATGTGACTAAATTCTTACATTTTTACATGTATCTCAGCATAGCAAGTTGGAAGTTGACATATTCTGCCATATATGAAGAGGGGAGACTCCTCTCTTCACAAGTCAAAAATGTGTTTTATCTGAAAGAAACATGCAATATTTACATCTAAGATCATAGAAAAACAGTCAAGTGCAATGATGTCCTCCAAGATAATATTTGCCACTTTGCAGTAAAAAAACATTCTGGACGTTTTCTTGTCGACATGATCTTGACTTACTTCTCTGTGCTCTGTGCTGCTCTTTGGTCTCTTTGTTGTTGTTTTTCAGTTTCAGTTATATATTGGGGGAACATTTTGGGCATTGGTGGGGGGGCACATGTCCCCCTCAATGTATATGGTGAATACGGCCCTGTCAGCATGCATAATTAGGCTGCAGTTGTCTGGGTGCACAAAGGTGAAGTGGCTGGTCTTGTCATACAAAGTTTGATGGAGTGTCAACTGGACAATATGGAGATATTTACATCTTGAAAGCCGGACTACAAATGTGGATAGACAGGGAGAAACACACGCAAGCCTAAGACGTGGTAAGATACGATATTCCTCACTATATGAAGTGACTGATAACAAGATCTGTATAATGGATTGTAAAGAAATTCGTCAGGTTTTTATTTTGTAGACAATTGATCTGTATTTATAGCGTGATGGGATGACAGCACAATGATGTGTGTGGCATTTCTGTGTGACCCTGCATTCTTGAGTAATCCATCTAAGAATAATGTGTGTGCAAAGCTGTTTGAAAACTGCGTCGATCAAACGAGTACCAGAATTTTCTTTTTTAAATAAATGTTATTATAGAGAAGAGAGAGTCACTCAATCACCTTCCATCCTCCCACGTACTTTCACCGCACAAATGAAATGGTTTATTTTTATTTCATTTTATTCATTCATTTAGGTCGGGAAAAAATACAGAGGTCATGACCTCGGTGTCCTCAATGGTAGTTACGGCCTTGCCCTCAACATGGCAGCAACTACACACTGATTACTGTGAAAATAAGAAGGTAACCTCACATTTTGCAACCCCTTTTTGTGTTTTTTGTTTGCATCGTTCAGTTGTCATAATGCATGTCTCTGTGGTTTTGTGTCTCTGTCACAGCTGTGTGTGTGCTCTGTGCTGCTGTCCCTTTTCCCTCCACCGTAGATCTGCCCAGGTGTGCTGCGTTACTTAACAAGGTGCAGCGCACCTGGCATGGAGGAGGTGCTTCAGAGGAGAGAGGCCTCTGGTGTGGTGACTGCTGGTCCTGCTGCCTCTCAGCCTGTGAGCTTTTGTTGTCTTGTTTGCTTGTTTTACTTGTAATAAATCCCATGGATCTGAGTGTTTAAAGGTGATGGTCATGTGATTATTTTGGATCAGTGTTGGAGTTTTGTTTGCCCCATAGGGCGCCTAAGGGTGGGGCGTAACAGTCTCATTGCAGTCATTTTGTGTCTCTTTGTGGTTGTTTTGTTTCTCTTTGTGGTAGTTGACATCTCTTTTTAGACATTTTGTGTCTCTTTGTGGTCATTTTGCATGTGTCTGTGAAGTTGTTTTGTTTCTCTTTGTAGTTGTGTCGTGTCTCTCTGTGGTAATCTACGTCTCTTTTTTTTAATAATTTTGTGTCTCTCTAGTTGTTTTGTTTCTCTTTGTAGTTGTGTTGTGTCTTTTTGTAGTTGTTTTGTGGCTCTTTGTAGTTGTGTTGTGTCTCTCTGTGGTAGTTTACATCTCTTTTTTAGTAATTTTGTGTCTCTCTGCAGTTGTTTTGTTTCTCTTTGTAGTTGTTTTGTGTCTCTCTGTAGTTGTTTTGTTTCTCTTTGCAGTTGTGTTGTGTCTCTTTGTGGTAGTTTACATCTCTTTTTTAGTACTTTTGTGTCTCTCTGCAGTTGTTTTGTTTCTCTTTGTAGTTGTTTTGTGTCTCTCTGTAGTTGTTTTGTTTCTCTTTGCAGTTGTGTTGTGTCTCTTTGTGGTAGTTTACATCTCTTTTTTAGTACTTTTGTGTCTCTCTGCAGTTGTTTTGTTTCTCTTTGTAGTTGTTTTGTGTCTCTCTGTAGTTGTTTTGTTTCTCTTTGCAGTTGTGTTGTGTCTCTTTGTGGTAGTTTACATCTCTTTTTTAGTACTTTTGTGTCTCTCTGCAGTTGTTTTGTTTCTCTTTGTAGTTGTTTTGTGTCTCTCTGTAGTTGTTTTGTTTCTCTTTGTAGTTTTGTTTCTCTCTGTAGTTGTTTTGTGTCTCTCTGTAGTTGTTTTGTTTCTCTTTGTAGTTGTTTTTTGTCTCTCTGTAGTTGTTTTGTTTCTCTTTGTAGTTGTTTTGTGTCTCTCTGTAGTTGTTTTGTGCCTCTCTGTGGTAGTTAACATCTCTCTGTAGTTGTTTTGTGTCTCTCTGTAGTTGTTTTGTTTCTCTTTGCAGTTGTGTTGTGTCTCTTTGTGGTAGTTTGCTTCTCTTTTTTAGTATTTTTGTGTCTCTCTGCAGTTGTTTTGTTTCTCTTTGTAGTTGTTTTGTGTCTCTCTGTAGTTGTTTTGTTTCTCTTTGTAGTTTTGTTTCTCTCTGTAGTTGTTTTGTGTCTCTCTGTAGTTGTTTTGTTTCTCTTTGTAGTTGTTTTTTGTCTCTCTGTAGTTGTTTTGTTTCTCTTTGTAGTTGTTTTGTGTCTCTCTGTAGTTGTTTTGTGCCTCTCTGTGGTAGTTAACATCTCTCTGTAGTTGTTTTGTGTCTCTCTGTAGTTGTTTTGTTTCTCTCTGTGGTAGTTTACGTCTCTTTTTAGTAGTTTTGTGTCTTTGAAGTTGTTTTGTGTCTGTGTAGTTGTTTTGTGCCTCTCTGTAGTTATTTGTGTCTCTTTGTGGTAGTTTACGCCCCTTCTAGTAACTTGTGTGTCTTTGTAGTTGTTCTGTGACACTTTGAGCCTGTTCAGTAATCCGTCCATGTTTATAGCCTCACGTTAGCATTTACAATTCAGAAATCATAAAAGCAGTGTTCATTTCTGAAGTTAATCTTGCTGAGCAAAACCTGTAAGTATCAAACTTTTGTTTGCTACAGAGTTCATTTTCTGAAAAAACCCAAAACCCACTGTCTTCCAGACATTTCTCTATCGCTGACACAGTGCTATGGAGATAGGTCTGGCATCGCGAGCCTAGAGAGACTAAATGACTTGTTAATGTGTTAACTCACCTCCCCACCCCAAAACACCCCCACAGGCCCCCACCCAGGGGTGTCTCTAGGGAATACACTGCCCCAATGTCCCCTGTTTCCTTATCACCTTACTGCTGATGAGCGTTTAGCATTTTCCTGTGTCCCTCTGAAGCAGCTGCTCTCGGCACTGTAACTGGGTCGGACATGATAAAATTGGAAGTACTGCAAGCCGCTCCAGATAACAGCAGCCTCTGCATCGGAGAATTAGAACAATACACCTTACGGGCGGCGGGGTGGGGGCTCTCACAAACACGGCAATTTCTGTTTTTTATTTGTAATAAATTGTCAAATAACCATTTTCTTTGTCTTGATGAAGCATGAAAACACAAATAAAACAGCACTCTGCCGTGTTACAGCCTCTGGTTAAAAGCCGCTATTAAAATCTGTGTATGCATGTATGTGTGTGTAGGTGTGATGTGTGTGTGTAGATCTGTGTGTGTAAGCGAGGGAAAAACTGAGAGGCAGAGTGTTTGTTTACTCTCACTGAGTGCTCCTGTGTTAATGCATGGTTGCTCCAGTTTCTGTGTGTGTTTCTATACTGATGTTTGTGTTCTCTTGCATGTATTGAAGGTTAATCATCGACACACCTGCGTATGTTTGTAGCGTGTCACTGTCAGTGAAAACTCCAGCACAGGACACGCTGCTGGCGTCATGCTGGCGTCATGCTTTGTGTTGTTTTGGGGGTTTGCCAGTTTTCACCAAAGAATGCTAATTTTTGCAAAGCAGTACATCACTTCAGGGGTTTTTGCAAAGAGTTTATGTCCCCATGGAGCCGAGGTCCTCTTGCAACAATTACAGCTCAGGAAAAGCCTCCAATAACAGTAAGTGAAGAGAAAATTGGGGATAAATGAGATGTTTATCAGGCGCCAGTGTTCCTCTCAGTACATAGAAAAACAAACCAGAGAGTGCTTGTGCTGTAAACTGTTTAATCTAAAATCCATTTAAAGCCCAATTTTGTATATCTTTGTGTAGATATTTGTTTTAATAATCGAATACAAACATACATTCTCAACTAACCAAGTGAAAATTAAAAATAATGTGTTGTCGCTCCTCACCTGGACTCTTAGACGCCATCTTCTCCGACTCTTTGGGCGTCCTGAAGAGGATGGGCTCGCTGGGGGGGCTGCTGCCTCCCATGCTGATGCTCTGAACGTGAACGATGTACTCCGTGTCCTCATCCAGATCCCACAATGCGCAGGAGCGTGTGGTGGTGTTGACCTCCTGGATGAACCTCAGCATGCGTACATCCTTCTTCTGCAGAGATGGCGGGGAACAGAAGGGCAGCGTTAGAGAACTCAGGGGGCTCGGAGTAATGTGATACTTCATTGATCCCTGCAGGAAAATTCTCTTTGCTTTGGCACCACGTCAGAGGAGGAGTCACAGGTCAGGGTTAAACTGGTGCATCGAGCCACTGCCTGAGACTTTGTAACCACAGTTTATGATTGGCTTTAATTATAAATGTTTTTTTCCAACATGCCAGGAACAGAATTCTGGGAGAACCACTTACTTCTTGTAATCACTTTGACATAAAATATATATTGGAACAAAGCATTAAATACAATCAAAACCCTGCATCAATTTAAATAACGTCACAGGTTCATAGTTTTGTTCTCTGAGTCAACTCAGAGTCAAAGTCAGATTTTCCCTCTGACGATCCCTCCTGAGAAAATCCACCCTCTGGTTAAGGCTGATATGTTGCAAATGCAAACACGTCTCTCTTGGTTAACAGTAGAGAAAAAGCTGAAATAAAGCCTCCGGGGTTTGTCCTGCAATGTAATTAAGCTTAAAGAAACACAGTGCTTCTCTGGCCATGTACGCTCTGCTTGAAATGTACATTATTATCCAGCTCGGACTGCTTGCTCAGGTCAATTGGTTCCTGCTGGATCAGGAGTAAATCTCCTCAGGGGCTTTTTAATTTACTGGGCTATTAAAGAGGAGAATTTCTTAACCTATCTAAACTGTAGGCGAAGTGTACATTTGAAAAGTATCTGAAAGTGTATATAACAACTATTTGGCGACAAATATTTGACTATTTAAAACTTGCATTGCTTGGTCTTGTGTCTGTTTCATTTAAACCAGGGGTATTCAATGTCACACACTGGGTCACCCCCCTGTTTGATGGTACATTCTAAGTAAGTACGGCATTTAAAGTAACTTCCATGTTTAGGTACTCAAATTATTGTAGAGTACTAAAAACAAAATCTAATGTAAGAACAGTAATGCAAATTGGCCACCAATGAGAAAAAAGTGCAATATGAAATTTATTTATTGAACTAACAGGATTCAATTGACCCAAACTTTCTGTTGCTGCCATTACATGGGCTGCTGGAGTCCGGAGCTGCTCTCCTCTCAATCAGTTCAACATCTGCCTGGTTAGCATGGAGTCAGCTCAGACCAGGGTCCGACAACACCACAGCTGTGCTCCATTGACTCTACTGCAGTCGTTTCAGATTTCCTTCATTTTCAGGCTGGTTTTGTGGATGTGGAGCTAAATGTTGTGCCTGGGGCTCGTCGTGTATTAATGATACTCGTTACCTGGAGAGGTTGGAAAAAGATATACGTTTCTTCCCTGTTCCAAAACCAAAATCAAACCCTGAAAAGTGTATGGTGTCGGACCCTGGTCTGAGCCGGCCCGATGCTACGTCATGATTGGCCAGTCTGTGTCCAGGGGCGGGACTTAGTGAAGGGTCAGTTGGTAGAGGTTTTAAATCATCTAAACAAACTGCAACAACTAGCTTCCTGTTGTTTTGTTGCGTGTGCACTTGTCACGTTCATGTCATGCAGCGTATTTTCTTCATGTCTCTCTGATCTAAACTTTGTCCTGACACGCACTGAAATGAAGGACACCACACACACACACACACACACACACACACAGGTACCTGCTGAGTGATGGCAAATCCAATGACGGGGTCCCCCTCCAGGATTTCCCACGTGACCACGGCGGAGTTTACCTCAATGTCTTTGATGGTCACATTGAGTGGAGCTGACAGCAGGGTGTCTGACACACACACACACACACACACACACACACACACACACAGTAGAGACATAGAGAGAGACAGGTCATGCATATTGTGCCACTACACCTTGTAATACACACAACTGATGCAACAATGTAGACCTGAACACACATCCTCCCCTCTCCATCACTCTTTGAACTCTTCCTCCTCTTCCTCCTCTTCCTCCTCGTGCTCTCTGGCCCCGTCTTCCCTAAAATCTTCTCTTCTTCTACAGATTAATCTTTCTGCTTTCATTAATACCAGACTTAATTAACCACACAAGTCTCTTGGTGTTTCCTTTGAAAAGGCGCTCTTTCTCATCTATCTTCATCTTGGCGTTTCTCCTTGTCTTTCTCTCTCTCTCTCACACACACACACACACACACACACACACACACACACACACGTTTTCCTGTCTTCACCTTCCTTCTTCTCGCTCTTCCTTCTCCCACACACATCTCATTAAAGTGTGACTCATGAGGATGTTTTCCTCGGTCATACTGCCAACTGATTTTAATGTTCGGGTTAAAAAAAAAACACCTCACCTCCCAGAATTCAAGGCAATGTTTGTTGATGAGGAGATTAACTATGATGGATTAAGTTACAGTCTTGCTTAAGTTTCTCCCATCCTTAACTGTAAAGGGAGCAGAGTGTGTGCGTGTGTGTGTGTGTGTGTGTGTGTGTGGGAGAGAGAAAGTATGTGTCTTTGTGTATGAGCTTAAACCAACTCAAGGTCTTCTATGATCAGAGCCAGGCCTGTATTTCCCATGAGCCTCGCTTGTAAAAGCAACGTCCGAGTGAGACCTTGACATTGTACTAGATCACACACATGGCTGCTCGCGTGCACACACACATTCACACACATTTGCATTTACTCTATTCTGTCCTATAAATACTCCAAATGCCTGTCCATGTGATCTGGTCTGAAGACAACCTCATGTAACAGAGAATAAAGCAATGATGACTTTAATACAGTGGTCTCAGGACATCACTTGCAGTAAAGTGGAAGTCAACAACTTTTTGACTAGCTAGTGTGCTAGCTAGCTCGTTAAGGCCTTCTACTAATCAATTGCTTGATCATTTACGTTAATAACTTCCCCCACTGCTCATTTAAAAACGCCACCACATTAAAGCCACATTAAGCCTCACTTTAATTCTGTGATACTTCCTGTCACTGGGAACAACCCTGGAAAAAAAGTAAGGCTACAGTGGGCAGGCTAGCACGCAAATGTTAGCATGCTAACGCTAGCTCACTAACTCTGGCAGCCAGAAACAAACATCTATGACTCATTGTCTCTTTGACAATCCAAACAAAGAACACATTTTCTTGTAGTGGCCTCTCTAAAGTGAGCAGGAATGAAAGTTAATGTTAAGAGTATTCTGTTATGATGAAGTACCCAGCGCCCTAGCATGCTAACTGTTAAGGCCCTGACACACCAAGCCGACGGTCAGCCGTCAACCAAAGTTGGGCCGTCGGTGAGCGTCTGTCGCCCTAGTTTTTGCGGTGTGTCCTGCACTGTCGGCACTTCGGCGTCGGTGGCTTTTTTCGGCCGATTGAGCATGTTGAATCGGCGGCGGAGCTTGTCGGTGAGAGAGATCACTCTGATCGGCTGTTCAGGTTTTATTTCCTCGCCCCTGTAGCGAGTGAATCTGCCTGTAGTGAAACCGGGGCTAACCGGTGCTTCCTCCTCAGGCTCCACTTCACTCAGCTGCCCCACAGACCCGCTGCTTCTTCACACTTTAACCTGAATAACAAACCGGAGCTAGCTGGGAGCGGCTAGCGGAGCGTTAGCCGCAGCATGACCAGAGGGAAGCACAGCCAGTTAGTCTCCGCTAGTCTCTGAGCTAGCCCCGGCTCTCCGTTTGGATCCAACCGGAGCACCGAGCCCTGGTTTGTTATTCAGGTTAAAGTGGGAAGAAGCAGCGGGTTTATCGGGCAGCTGAGTGAAGTGGAGCCTGCGGAGGAAACACCGGGACCGTCTGGATGTAATAGTCCGTGGAGGTGCTGCGGTGCTCGGCTGCACAGATAGGAAACCCCTCGGCTGACAGGATGTACCACTCTCTCACTCCGCTCTCTCTCACGCAGGCGCAGAACGTACGTGCTACTTGGCTGTCAGATGTAGTCCGTGTAGTGTGTTCAAATGCAACTGACACAGGGCGACGTGAGGCGACGTAGACGACGCAACAGTTGGCTTCCGTCGCCGCTAGTTCTTTGATGTCAGTTTGGTGTGTCCGCACCTTTAGGTCATCTTTGCAAGCTAATTTGAGTTTATTTCCATGGTGGCAAAATACTAACAATTAATCTAAAAAGCAAATCTTAATTTTAATGTCCATAGTAACAGACTAATGTTAACTACAGTAAAACTTTCAGGTTGGGTCTCATCCAGTGTTGCCAGATCTTGGGAGAGAAACAAGCAACCAGGGCTAAGGAAACAAGCCCAAAAGAAGCCACTCCCTTTCTACAAATCTTATTGTATTCTTTCCATATTTCGCCCACTTGTTTGCCAAATAGTTAAAGAACCTCAATTACTCGCGCAATTTAAATGTGAAAAGTCTCATTGACTGACCGCCACCTGTGTGTATGCGGAGAAGGAGAGGGGCGGAGGGAGCGGAGCTGTGGAAACATCCTGCAGTCCGACATACTATCATGAGTTTAAATAACTGGATGGATAGAGAAAGGCGACGTTTAGAGAGCAAGCCTAAATAAGCAGCTCCACTTAGGGAACGAGCCCAAAAAAACGCAACCCGCGACTACCAATATTTGTAAGCGACTTTACCAAAAAAACAAGCCTAAAGTCGCGGCTAGTAAGTGGACCTGGTCTCATCTTAGGCGTTTCTCAATCTGCGTTCTTGCCTGTACTTGTGTTCTTGCGGACTTGTGAAACGTCATCAGTCGCAGCCCAAGTACGGCTCCAATTCAAAGTACAGTCCAAATGCCCAGATGTGAACTTGCTCTGCCTGTTCCATTATGGATGCACCAGGAGGTGACTTGTGTGGACTTTTGACAGCCAAGCATCCCAGAATGCATTTCTCACAGACCAGCGGCAATGGGAGTTTGTACTCCCGAGTCGAACTTGCCAAGTCCAAACTCCCAAGTGTGCAAGTCCGAACTTGGCGTACTTGGTATTGAGAAACGCCTCTATTTTTAACAGGGCACTGGTAGCTGGGCACTCTTTGATGACATCACAAATGCTGATTGGCTGAGACAGTTGGTGTCCCAGGGCTATCACACAAAATGTTCTCAGGACAACAACCACATGACAAAATCAGGACGTGCAGCTAGGTAACGCTGTCTGCTCATTAATAAATTAATTATTCATAACGTCACTCAAAATTGGTCTATTACATCATAAGCTACATAGACAAGTTGTAACACTTAATGCTTCTCTGTAGCTCTCATGTCCATGTGTTCCCTTCTCCACTCCATTTAAAAGTGTGTGTTTGTGTGATCCAGTTAGGCCACACCGCTCTTTCTTCCTGTCTGTTTACCCCTCAGATTACAGGGAGTCTGTCACTTTCTGCAAATTAGATTGTCACATTGTCACACCTCTGCAAATACTGAACGCGCAGCCTCGTCCGCAGAGTCAAATAATGGTATTACAGGAAGAAGAATGCACTCTGTTTCTCTGTGTCTGTCCGAACACAGCAGAGAAAACTAAAGCATTGGTGAAATTAATTTTTTGGTGGGGGCCAAACTCTCTCAGTGGCTCCCAGAGGCTCCATGTGTGTTTGCTGATGCAGACGAGATGGTGTGTGTGTGATACATTGCTAATACTCCCTGTTTGACTAGCTGTTTTCCCACTGTTTGTCTTCCAGCACTGACACTCACACACACCCACAGAAACAATACAATAGCAAAGAGGGATTCCCATCAGTTCTTAAGCTGTTTGCTGCCAAAGAGCTAAAAGCTGGCTGCAGAATCACAAAACTCCCTCTTAAAACTACATTCATCTCCAGCCTCAGGAAGCCAAATATCAAATCTCTAGGGGCTGAGATAAATCCCACATGATCTTATCGCCAAGATTTCAGCTTTTCAAAGGACTATCTCTCATCTCTCAGCTTATCATTGGGACACAATGTAACCGAGATCTTACGCTTGAGATGAATGTTCTTCTTGAATATAAACTGCTGCAGGTTAAAAATACGCAACGCTGTGAAAGATAGATGAGGCGCTGTATCCAACATGCATAATATAGCATGATTAGATTCATGCTGTATGTGGGGCTAAGAATAGAAACACCTCATCCTTACTTTATCTAATACTGTTTCACATCCCTTCTGGACTTTATGGCGTGCTGAAGCTGAATTCTTTTAGGCAAAGCAACATTTCAGGGTTGCATTTAACACTTATTTCCATTGTTAATTATTGTCTTGATTCGATGAAGAAGGTGACATCTTCAAATATCTTGTTTTGTCCAACCAACAGTCCAAAAGCCAAAGATGTTTCATTTATTATCATATGTGCAAATCCTGGTATTTATAGACAGGTATAAAGCTGGAACCAGAGATGAGCAATATATCAATATTTGATCTAGACTGATATGTCGTCTTTAGGCCAAGGAGACGAGATATCGTCTTAGTATTTGAACACTGTAATATCATAAGATTTGTCTGCTACTGGTTTTAACACCTCCATTACGTTAAAATTATGTAATTTTCTGAACATATCAAATTGTTCTTCTATTATTTGCCTTTACCCACTTAGTCATCCACCCACTTACAATATCCTCGCAATATAAACATTGAGGTATTTGGTCCAAAATATTATGATATTTGCTTCTCTACATATCACTCAGCTCTTGCTGAAACCAGCAAATATTTGGCATTATTGCATGAAATATGGCTCAGACAATTCATCAATTATCGAAATTGGTGCAGGCTTATGCTTTGACAATTGACTACTCCGCTGGTTTCAAACGTGGAGGTCATGACCCCTACTATGGGTCGCCACAGCATCACAAGGGGTTGCAAGGCCTTGATTTTACGGGGTTTTAGACAACATTCACAAAAAAAAAAAAAAAAAAAAAAGGAGGATACACAAGGCCTCATCTCAGCATTTCATTCAGTTCTGTTAAGAAAACTTGAGTTTGGAATATTATTTAAGATTTAATCTAAAAGCTTAGGATAAGGGCATGGTGAAGACCTGAACACAATATTCACAGAGTCTTTACTCTCTGCAGAACGGTGTCGTCTTGCAATTTGGAAAAGCAAACAGATAAACAACCAATGAGCTAACAAAATTATGGCCAAGCACCAGGGAGAAGAAAACACTGGATTTATCAAAAAAGAAGCCTAATAAGTGTTGAAAATCAAAACAAAACAATAAAAGATTATACAGAGAAAAAAATATATGAAATTTTACAAAGAAAGAAAGTGATATTCACAGGAAATAATCTGCTCAAAATTCCTCATTTTACATAAACTTCCTGCAGTTATTGTACAATTTATCAGTTGTCCTGTATGTTACTGTCATGCATCTAATATAATCTGAACTATTCATTAAAATATGTCACAGAGTCAGGGGCTGTCAATTCAATCAATGATAGAAAAGGGGTTCCTCAGGGTAAAGGTTCGGAGCCACTAAACTAATCAACTAATTGTCTCAGGTCGAATACTTAGCTAGTCTTTGGTGGAGTTTCAACATTATATTTTCTTAAATTAAGTGCATATTCGTCAGTTTTTAGCAAAAATCTCATTGTGTTATTTTGTGAAAGAACAAATAGTCAACACAACAAAATCCTTGCAATATTGATATCGAGGTATTTGGTCCAAAAATATTGTGAGTTTTGATTTTCTCCATATCACTCAGCCCTATGAAATGAACATGTGTTTGGTATTTTTTTTTATGACAAATGGCTCTGACAGTTCATTAATGATCAAAATTAGTGCAGACACATTTTCTGACAATCAACTTAACAAATAATAGTTTCACCTCAAACACTTATCTGGTCTAGTCTAGCAAAAATTTCATTGAGTTATTTTGAGAAAGCACCAATAGTCTGCACTACAATATCGTCACAATATTGATATCTAGGTGTTTGGTCCCCATTGCCTAGCTCGGTGGAACAACCATATGTTTGGCATTTTTGCATGAAAATAACTTTGCTGATTAATCTGTTTTCAAAATAAGTGCAGACTACTTTTCTGACAATCATCTTATCCAATACTAGTTTCTCTCCAAACACTTTTCTAGTCTTTGGTAGAGTTTTAACATCTTATTTTCCTAAATTAAGTGCAAATTTGCCAGTTTTTACCAAAAATCTCATTGTGTCAATTTGTGAAAGCACCAATAGTTAGTCTGAGTGGGCGGAAGTTCGCTGCATAGATCAGCCTCTCATTGGGCGGAACAAGCCACCCGCTGAAGTCCTGCCCTACCACCTCTGTTTGTGTAGCAGTTTTCAACCGTTTTCAACACGTCCTTTACTAACTTTTGCGGTGTTTGATCTTGCGGGGATGTAGCCATTTTTCTGCCATGGTTCGCGTCCTGTAGGCGATATTTTTGTGGGCGTGTTACACCAAAACCTGTTTCCCCCCGGCAATATTTTTGCAAGCGCACCATTGCTGTGGCACCGCCCAGAACGATTGTGATTGGTTGAAAGAAATACAAGCAGCTGGGGCATTTTTTTTCTCCAATCTTAAAGTGAGAGTCGGCCCAGCCAGACCTTTCTTTTCTTGGGAAAGGTCTGGTGAGCGAGACTACACCAATAGTCAACCCTGCGATATCATCACAATAATGATATCGAAGCATTTGGTCCAAAATACTGTAATATTTGATTTTGTCCATATCACCTAGCCCTATGAAACCAGCATATGTTTGACATTTTTGCATGAAAAATGGCTCTGACAAATAATCAATCATCAAAATTAGTTCAGTCTTCTTTTCTGACAATCAGCTTCTCCAATAATAGTTTCACCACAAACACTCAACTAGTCTTTAGTTGAGTTTTAACATCTTATTTTCCTAAATGAATGCATATTTGCCAGTTTTTACCAAAAATCTCTTGGTGTTATTTTGTTAAAAAAGAACAAATAGTCAACACAACAATATTGTTGCAATATTGATATCGAAGTATTTGGTACAAAATATTGTGATATTTGATTTTCTCTGTATCACCTACCCCAATGAGATGAGCACATGTTTGGCATTTTTGCATGAAAAATGACTCAGCTGATTACTCACTTATCAAAATTAGTGCAGACTAGTATTCTGACAATCAGCTTCTCCAATAATAGTTTCACCACAAACACTTTTCTGGTCTAGTCTAGCAAAAATTTCATTGAGTTATTTTGAGAAAGCACCAATAGTCTGCACTACAATATCGTCACAATATTGATATCTAGGTGTTTGGTCCCCATTGCCTAGCTCGGTGGAACAACCATATGTTTGGCATTTTTGCATGAAAAATGACTCAGCTGATTACTCACTTATCAAAATTAGTGCAGACTAGTATTCTGACAATCAGCTTCTCCAATAATAGTTTCACCACAAACACTTTTCTAGTCTTTAGTTGAGTTTTAACATCTTATTTTCCTAAATTAATGCATATTTGCCAGTTTTTAGCAAAAAATCTCATTGTGTATTTTTACGAAAGCACCAATACTCAATCCTGCTATATCACTGCAATATTGATATCGAGGTATTTGGTCCACAATATTGTGATATTTGATTTTCTGCATATCACCTTGCCCTATGGAACGAGCACGTGTGGCATTTTTGCATGAAATCATTACCAAAATTGGCTCAGACTTATACTTTTACAATTAACTAACCAACTTTGTCTCAGGTCTAACACTTATCTAGTCTTTGATAGAGTTTTAACATCTTGTATCTTTAAATTAAGTGCATATTTGTCAGTTTTTAGCAAAACATCTCATTGTGGTATATCAAGGATATTTCGTAAAAAATATTGTGATACTTGATTTTCTCCATATTGCTCAGCCCTTGCTGGAACCAGCAAATATTTGGTATTTTTGCATGAAGAACGGCTCAGTTGATTAATCATTATCAAAATTAGTGCAGACTTATACTTTGACAATTAATTATTCTACTAATTGTCTAATGTCTAACACTTACCTAATCTTTGGTGGAGTTTTAACATCTTATATTTTAAATTAAGTGCATATCAGTTTATGTCTCTTAAAAATCAACTTTTCTAAACCAGCCAGTACACCACAGATGATCTTAAACATGTCACTTGTTTCTATAAATATTCTCCAAACTGGGATTAAAAACTTGCATCCACAGCACCATATCATCCTGAGTGTTGATACACTATGGGACTAACTTGTATCAGCCATGTTTGCAGCCCCAGAGCTCATAGCTTTTACCTAGCTGCTGCAAATGTTGCTGCTGACACATCCATAACAATGTGTCATGCCAGGTGCTTCTTCCCCCAAACCGATCCGCAGCACCGTGATGTTCTACATGCATCCCATCAGACAGCTGTGGTCCAGACATGATGCCACCACACAGCAGCATGTGTTGTGTGATCAGCCTGTGTGCATCCGTCCTGTCTGCTCCTGATCATCGCCCATCATCAACCTGTGGTACAACTCACCGGCTTTAACGGAGGACGCCGAGAGGAAGCCCAGCAGGAGCAGCAGCACCGCCGCAGACAAGCCTGGTTTCGCCATCCTCCTGCTTCTTCTAGCGAGGCTTCACATCCTGCGCGGCCCATTTATAACATCCTCATTTAACGGGAGGGTGCAAGCATCCCGCTCGGTACCGGAGAGAGGACTTGTTGTGCCGGTGACGAGGCTCACCTGAACTTAGCCGCTGCAGCAGAAGCGCAACAACAGACAGAGGAGGAGGAGGAGAGGAGGAGGAGGGGAAGGGAGGGGGTGGTTCTCAAAACCGTCTTCGTTTGTCTCGGTGCCCGTGTCGAGACTCAGCGTCGGCCCTCAGCAGACTGAGTCCGGCTGCTGGTGACGGAGAGGAGAGGCTTTACTACGCGGAGAGGTGAGCGGAGCGTAAAAGGCGTGCGCAAGTGCTGCAGAGTGCAACGTGCAGCCACAGCTAATGACTCTCTGTCTCTCTCTCTCTCTCTCTCTCTTTCTCTCTCTCCCTCACACACACACACACACACACACACACCTGCAGCAGTCCAAGTTGCTTAAAGAAGTATTGACCAAACCTCCAGTGGAACATCATTAGTCACATATCAGTGGGTCTAAACCTTCAAAGATCTTAAAGGTCCAGTGTGCATGATTTCTGCCTGCTTTGTTATGGTCTGACAACTTGTCAGAGTAAGCATGGAGCCCACACTGTAACTAAAGCCCAGTTTCCACCAAACCCTTTCAGTCCAGCACCTCTGGAACCAGATGACATCACAGTAGCTTGTTCATGGACTTTCCACGTCCACATATGGCGTCCAAGGTACCCTGGGTGTGTTGGTTGTTGATGTTCTGGGACGCTGTGTCAACTTCAGCCTGTTACATGCATTGTCTGTTTTCAAAATACACTTCTGTTTTCACAGGAAATGTACAGTTTGCATACAGTCGCTTTCAAAATAAAAGCACTACATCGGCACAACACATCGAATTGGCGTTTTTTTTCCCCCTTCAACAACAAACAAACGTGGTTGAGTTTAAAAAACAGAGAACAGGGTTTGGCTTTAGGATCTTACGGGATGCGAACACCTCTCTCTCAGGTGTTTGTTGGACCCATCCATCACCTCTCCTGCCTGCCCCAGATGGACTTTCATGACACCTTAAATTTCATCCTTGTCCCACCGTGTTTCCCCCTGATGCTGCTGGGTGCTGTGAAACTGCAACAGCAACTGGCTGCGTATCATGCCAATGTTAAAGGACGCCTTTTTTTTCTGGTTTCTGACGCCACAAGTCACTGCCCAAGCGCCGGAATGCAACGCCTTCGGAGTGATACTGGGCTCTTTTGGCTGAGACACAGGCCAAACATGAGGCGACGCAACCGTTGGCTTTTGTTCTTTGATGTCTGTTTGGTATGTCAGGGCCTTTACTCCTGAAATGATCGTGTAGGTGACCTTCGACCCGAATTCAAAAAATTTCAGTAGCAACATTTTTGAACAGCGCCCTCTAGGGAGCGAGATGTAATGAATGTGACAGCTAACCCCATTCTCCCATACTTATTTTGATCATGTATTAATCATTCATCGTGCAAAAACAGAAACAGTGGTATCAATCAAACTCTGAGCAGCAAACATCTTATTTGCAAAGTGGAATGATGGCACGGCACCAAAGGAAATCCCTGCAGCAGGATATAGCCACACATTAAATCATGTTCTTCTTTCATTCAGTACATTCTGTCTGGCCTTGACCAACATATTAAATCAAATTTCTGGAATGTAACCAGGGAACAGGATTCCTGTGGTCCTGTATCTTTTCCATAAAACATGAACTATCTGCTCTCTAAAGGGAGAAAAACAAAGGCGCAGCCAGAATAAGCAGGAAATCTGTCCTGAGCGCGGTTTGTAAGTGTAATACAGAGGAACAAAAGGACCTATGGGTCCCGTATCTGGTCGATAAAATGAAACAGGTCCAAATAGGGTCCTATACGGTCAATAAAAAGGAGATAGGAGCAATATACACTGTCCAGTCAATAAAGGGGAAACAGGGGTCCTACAGTACATGCAAGTTATTAAGGGTAGAACAGATCTGCAGTGGGAAAACGACGTTCAGTGCCCGCACATATAGAGACCCAGGGACCATAGATCGATGCACATTAACATTCCTAACAGAAGCCTCCTAATGTCGCTTTCATTTCAATGAGAAGAGGAAGAGGTGTCACTCTCTTCCTCTCCTCGTCTCTGCTCTTCACTGTCTTCAGCTGAAGGTTATGAGAACGATTTGAGGCGACAACAGTCATATCTCTTTGCTCTGCCACTGACAGTTTTATCACTTGACTCAGGTTCAGATGAGCAAAGTCTCCTCCAGTGACCTCTGGCTTCAGCTCCAGCGTGCAAAAAATAACTTTGTCTTTTCACCTATTGTTGTTCTCATCTGTTATTTCCATGGCTCTTGATGGATGGTGAGAGATTTATATATTTTCGGAGAACTTCCTTCAGAGGTTAATGTGTTTGGTGCGATGATAAGAAAGTGTATGCAGATTTGATGTGGGTGTCAAGAATGGGAAGAATGTCTTAGAAAGTACTGACGAGGTGAGAATGATTGTTGTTTGGCCTCAGTTCACATTATTCCTGCACTATGTGTGTGGTAATCACTAGGACACCCCCCCCACCCCGGCTCCATGTTGCCTCTTCAGGCTGAGCCTGACTGGGGCCCATGGCCCGGCCACCAGACCCTCACTGGCGAGCCCCCCCCAGGTCTGGCTGCGGGGAGGCCCTGGTGTCCCCATCCTGGAAAGTACTGCTGTGGGGGGGATGTTTACATTCTGCTCAAGGTCAGTATCACTATTTTTTGTAGTAGGCACCTCTATTTTGAAAAAAAAATAAAATAAAATTTAAAAATATATAAATGATGAAAATATCTTCCTCTACAATTTCACCTTAAATTTGCATGTCATTATGACGTTTTTTATTTGATGTTTCAGTCACGTGATATTTAACTACTGGCCGTTTTGTAAATTAATTTTTGCAACTATATTTTTTGTAAATATTATTGTAAATGTATTTTTTGTAAATGTATTTTTGTAAACATATTATTAAAAATGTATTTCTTATAAATATATTTTTGTAAATGTATTTTTTGTCAATATATTTTCTGCAAATGTATTTTTTGTAATATACTTTTTGTAAATTTATTTTCTTAAATGTATTTTTTTGTTAATGTATTTCTTGTAAAAAAAATTGTTTTGTAAATATATTGTGTAAATGTATATTTTTGTAAATATATTATTTGTAAACATATCTTTTATAAAGACATTTTTTGTAAATATATTTTCTGCAAATGTATTTTTTGTAAATATACTTTTTGTAAATGTATTGTATTCCAGTGATGCAATCTTGTACTGGTTTTGCAGTGTGTTGTACTTACTAAGTTTCTGTATAGCTACATGTGTTATCACATGATGTGTTGNTCACCTCTCCTGCCTGCCCCAGATGGACTTTCATGACACCTTAAATTTCATCCTTGTCCCACCGTGTTTCCCCCTGATGCTGCTGGGTGCTGTGAAACTGCAACAGCAACTGGCTGCGTATCATGCCAATGTTAAAGGACGCCTTTTTTTTCTGGTTTCTGACGCCACAAGTCACTGCCCAAGCGCCGGAATGCAACGCCTTCGGAGTGATACTGGGCTCTTTTGGCTGAGACACAGGCCAAACATGAGGCGACGCAACCGTTGGCTTTTGTTCTTTGATGTCTGTTTGGTATGTCAGGGCCTTTACTCCTGAAATGATCGTGTAGGTGACCTTCGACCCGAATTCAAAAAATTTCAGTAGCAACATTTTTGAACAGCGCCCTCTAGGGAGCGAGATGTAATGAATGTGACAGCTAACCCCATTCTCCCATACTTATTTTGATCATGTATTAATCATTCATCGTGCAAAAACAGAAACAGTGGTATCAATCAAACTCTGAGCAGCAAACATCTTATTTGCAAAGTGGAATGATGGCACGGCACCAAAGGAAATCCCTGCAGCAGGATATAGCCACACATTAAATCATGTTCTTCTTTCATTCAGTACATTCTGTCTGGCCTTGACCAACATATTAAATCAAATTTCTGGAATGTAACCAGGGAACAGGATTCCTGTGGTCCTGTATCTTTTCCATAAAACATGAACTATCTGCTCTCTAAAGGGAGAAAAACAAAGGCGCAGCCAGAATAAGCAGGAAATCTGTCCTGAGCGCGGTTTGTAAGTGTAATACAGAGGAACAAAAGGACCTATGGGTCCCGTATCTGGTCGATAAAATGAAACAGGTCCAAATAGGGTCCTATACGGTCAATAAAAAGGAGATAGGAGCAATATACACTGTCCAGTCAATAAAGGGGAAACAGGGGTCCTACAGTACATGCAAGTTATTAAGGGTAGAACAGATCTGCAGTGGGAAAACGACGTTCAGTGCCCGCACATATAGAGACCCAGGGACCATAGATCGATGCACATTAACATTCCTAACAGAAGCCTCCTAATGTCGCTTTCATTTCAATGAGAAGAGGAAGAGGTGTCACTCTCTTCCTCTCCTCGTCTCTGCTCTTCACTGTCTTCAGCTGAAGGTTATGAGAACGATTTGAGGCGACAACAGTCATATCTCTTTGCTCTGCCACTGACAGTTTTATCACTTGACTCAGGTTCAGATGAGCAAAGTCTCCTCCAGTGACCTCTGGCTTCAGCTCCAGCGTGCAAAAAATAACTTTGTCTTTTCACCTATTGTTGTTCTCATCTGTTATTTCCATGGCTCTTGATGGATGGTGAGAGATTTATATATTTTCGGAGAACTTCCTTCAGAGGTTAATGTGTTTGGTGCGATGATAAGAAAGTGTATGCAGATTTGATGTGGGTGTCAAGAATGGGAAGAATGTCTTAGAAAGTACTGACGAGGTGAGAATGATTGTTGTTTGGCCTCAGTTCACATTATTCCTGCACTATGTGTGTGGTAATCACTAGGACACCCCCCCCACCCCGGCTCCATGTTGCCTCTTCAGGCTGAGCCTGACTGGGGCCCATGGCCCGGCCACCAGACCCTCACTGGCGAGCCCCCCCCAGGTCTGGCTGCGGGGAGGCCCTGGTGTCCCCATCCTGGAAAGTACTGCTGTGGGGGGGATGTTTACATTCTGCTCAAGGTCAGTATCACTATTTTTTGTAGTAGGCACCTCTATTTTGAAAAAAAAATAAAATAAAATTTAAAAATATATAAATGATGAAAATATCTTCCTCTACAATTTCACCTTAAATTTGCATGTCATTATGACGTTTTTTATTTGATGTTTCAGTCACGTTGTTTTTTGTGAATTTGTTTTTGGTACATGTTTATTGTAAATTTTATTTTTTTGTTAATTTATTTTTATGATATTTTTTGTAAATGTATTTTTTGTAAATGTGTTTTTTGTGAATTTGTTTT